ATTCATGAAGTGAAGCTGCAGCAATCTGTTGCTCGTATCTGTGTCTATATTCCAGCGTTATGCTTGCGTGGTTACCAGGCAGCAACTACGGTCCCTGTACCACGTGACACCGCGGAACTAGAGTCCTACGCAATTTACTTACGCCATTTACTTAAAACAGGCATCACCCATTGTGTGCGTTTCAGTACCTCTAAACTTGGCTTACCTCCGTGGGGTTTTCTCCAAGGTCTTTTGAGAAGCTCATAGTGTTTAGGAGAACTGGTAGTAGTACTGTCCGGACGACTTAAATGGCACCATACATGACGTTTGTCATTTTAAAGTAAGACAACACAACTTAATGTGTAAGCATTCAACTACCACAGCTCCCATTCGGGTTTTAACATCGTGCCAGCTGCTCATGGTGTTATAAATGTATGTAACAAATCTTGCAGCTCATATGCTCAGCATTACCATTAAGAGAAACAGCAAGACATCTGTTTCTCTTTCTATTATTTATGTTTAAAATGTCTCTTTTTAATTGAATGTTTGTAAATTGTGTATTCACATATTGAGTTGTAACAATAGGAAAAGCATAGCCTAGGTGTTATTACTAATAACATTTATCCATGTGTGTAACAAGGAGTTATTCATTTTCTTATTTGCACTGACCAGTGTTTTTCCCACTTTGACCTGGCACAATGTTTTGACAAAGGCCTTAAAGTAGCCTTCTGTTCCTTCACAGCCAATCACAATATAGAACTGAATGTCTCTTCTGCGTTAACCTACTCATGGGCCCTGCGAGGCAAAATTAGCTGCAGGGTCTTTACCCTGTTCCCCTTTTTCTGTGTGCATTGTGTATTTCTATATTCGGGTTTGCTGTGAAGTCATTTATTTTAACACAGTTGAATTTAAAATAGCACTATGCAAACATGACATGAGCAACAAACTGCAGCTCCCGTTTAGCAAGAGGAGTTCAGAGACACTGCTGTACCTGGACTCCAGGAACTCTAGAGTAGCATCAACAGGCATTATGGTGTGGACCATATCATGTATAATTAAAATGGACATAATCTCTGTTACATCACCTAGAGTTGTTGTTGTGAAGCTCAGAGTGTGGTGGTTGGGGTTTGCCATATATGCAGTCCTGACTCCACAGGCCCATGGTTCATCTAAAAAATGGGCAAATGCATGGAGCGTGGGTGGAGTTGAGGCGGTCCCAATACTGAAAACAGTCGCCTGTGACAGCCCCCATTTGTCAATCAAAGCAACAATACACTTTATTATGCATAACTTTAAGCCTTGATATTATTTAAACAGCTGAGTTATTTAAAAAATTATGTGAGCTGCGAGTTGACTTGGGGAGGCAGCTCAAGTTACCGGATGAAATCATGAGAACTTGGTTGAGACCAGACATGGTGCAGTTTCCTAGAGGTCCTTTTCCACCAACAGGGAACATCCTCTGTATTGGTTCATGCACCTGGTTCTGAGCGTTTCGACCTCAAATGAATTGGTTCAGAACCCAAAGGTTTGGTTTGTTCCCATATGGAGCCAAGAAATAGGAAGATTTCCTTGGGAACCAAAGTGGGCATGACATATTCTCCAAGCTGTGCGTTGTGCATCGCTCTCTGTTGATGACACATCCTTGATTACAATGGTTCTGCTTAAAACTGGTCGAAATACGTGTTGGTTCAATAGAGAGAACCAGAAGGTCCCTGGATTTTGTTGAGTTGGTGATCCAGCTGGTGGCTAACAGCATATAGTATTTTGTTGTGTGCATATAATCCTTTGGCCGAGGTTAAACTGCACAGAATGGAGTTAGGTCTTTGTAGTAATGATGTCAATCTTTGACAGACTTTAAGATATGGAACAGATTTTTGCCAAGATGATTCAAACACTGTCATTCACAGTCACACATGTAAAGCCACACAGGGATTCCCTTGAGTTTCATTTCTATGCCTGACCTTATATAGGTATAGATAGAAGGGAAACTCTGTTGTCATGCAGTGTCTTCACACCCAACTGCACGTTTACAGAGTAATTCAAGCTCTGGGAAATTAGTCTGGCCAATTTGATAGCATTTATCTTTACTGTTGACCAGCAGAATCAATAATAACACTGATAACCTTATCTCCTTTTACACGTTTCTCAGAACAACCCCTAAACCATTCCTTGATACAGTATATTGCCCATTGCAACCTTTAACTATCAGCTGGTTACAATCCAGTTTTTCTGCGGTTCACACTCCCCCAATTTACTAAAGCAAGAACTTTAGAGAGGCAAGCAGATAGCTAATAGACAGTTACCAGCTACAAACTTAGAGTTCATAGACTTCTTCATATTCTGATATAGATATTTGCTTCAGTTCAGGGGAGCCCTTTTCAGATGGAAAGTTACTGAAGAAACCTGGTAAATTGAGACTGTTTTTGAGTTTAAAAATCCCCCCATATGATGAGAACTGATGTGTTTATCTACTCTTTTGGGGATGTGGTTGTGATTTCAGAGCCTTTTACTCCCACTCACTACTAGCTGGACAACACATTCCTGTTAACCACCTCTGCAAGGCTGGAAGGGAGTCTGGGTGTTAATAGGTCTACATTAGGTTATACAGAAGATCTTTTACAATGACAGGTCATCTGTTTTGTAATAAATATCCTTGCTCTTGATTTATGTTTCATCATTATGGGTGCCCCTCTCTTCCAATACATAAAGCTTTAGCAGTTAAGTGGGCAGTATCGTAACACAGCCCCTAATGTGACTGAATAATTCCCCCTTTCACTTTCAGTCTTACAGTCATTATCATAAGGGGCTATTCAACTTTTATTGTACATATATATCATTACAGAAAACATTTACAGGCTAAGTATTCAAAAGAATTAAGTTACACAGTAGTAGTGAATTCTAAAAAGTGTTGGAACCGGCTAAATGAAAGTAATTGGGGGTGTGTTAAGTGTAGTAGTATGCATCGAAGGAAATTCTGCTAAATGCGGGAATGGCACAGTTTGTTGAATTTGTCTCCCATAACTGCATCATTTGATGATGCTTTTCATCATCTTGAGCGGTCCTTTTTTTTAACAGTTAAAATGCCAGGTGCAAAAGACTTCATAGGTGTGTGTGTGTGTGTGTGTGTGTGTGTGTGTGTGTGTGTGTGTGTGTGTGTGTGTGTGTGAACGCACACAGGTGCATGGCATTCACCTGCGTTCCATCCAGCCAGGATAGAGCCATTCGCCACTGGGGCTACTAGTTTAAACATGAAACATGCAGTTTTGTTTTCTAACCACTTTTACTTAAAAGGAGAACTATTAACTACTAAGCTATGAGGAGGCAATCAGAGCAAAGAGAATCTCACGTTCATTATGGGTCAGAAACACTTTATTATTGGATTCAAATCAAAGAATATACATTAGAGATTCTGCCCAGCTCCTATAACCAGGTCAAATCAGGTGGCTGGGAACCTTAAAAATTACTTTTTAACTTTTTGAAAGACCATTAACAGGAATTAAGTGGGTAATTAAAATGGATAATAATTTATTAACTTAAAATAACTTATTCTAGTCTTTAGAATAATAATTAGACATAACAAAGGCATTGAAAAAAAGAAGTGAAAAGATGTTTGACCAAATGTGGGAGACGAACAAAGCTAAACTTGAATGTGAAACATTGTGGTTAGTGGAACAGAGGTGTTATGGGTAAACCAGCTGTGGGAGTATACAGTATGTCTTTTAGAAAAAATAAAAACACCACCTGTGTCTTAAAAACATGTCAAACGCAGGCCACTTTGACCCAAAAGCCACAGGTCATCTCTCATACACTCAAGCACACACACACACACACACACACACACACACACACACACACTCATTATTTTAAATTTCCTGTTTCGTGAGGCCTCTGATGTGGCATACAGACCTTTAAAGGTCCAGTGTGTAACATTTAGGAGGATCTATTGCCAGAAATGGAATATAATATTCATAGGTATGTTTTTGTTAGTGTATAATCACCTGAATACAGGAATACTTGTGTTTTTATTACCTTAGAATAAGCCGTTTTCATGGAGTCCGCCATGTTGATAAACCAAACACTGACTGTAGATAGTAAGTGAAGCTTTATTTATATAGCACTTTTTAACACATGGTTACCAAGGGCTTCAGATAGGGGCTTTTTGGATGTTTTGCAGCCACCGTAGTTTCCCCTACACAGCCCGTTTTCATTCCAAGGCCGTCAAGTACATACGTGAGCAATGTTCAGTTAGCTGCAATCTGCAACTTTACCACTAGATGCCACTAAACACACACTGGTCCAGTAACAGTTTGTAGCACTCTCCTCAGACAGATTAGTGATTTATAATCTCACATTATCTCACAATCTTAAATGATGCATCTTATTGCTGTGTGTCGCCATTCAAAGCTGCTCTTAGTGGTCCCAGAGGTTACATTTGCAGCATAAAAGGTGAAATATTTATTGCTGATTTATTACCCTGATATAGACTGGATAGTTACCTATTGTCCGTTTATTAATGGAAGAAGACTATCTCCTGTTGCAATAATTATTTTATTATTCAGTCCCAAAGAATTCATTTCTACCCTTTTTAATAGTCTGGTACCTCATGAGCAAACACAATCTGAATCTTCAAGATTACAGTTTCTGTCAGCTGTACAAGTAAAATATTTGTCTTAAATGTCATGTCTTACCTTTTTATCAAATATTAATCAGCAAATGACATCATGTCAAAAATATTATTGTGTAGTAATGGCTAAAACGAAACTTTGGTGAACTCCGATCTTTAGTTTGTCTTCCCACTCAGTGAGCATTCTCTGTCGATCAAGCAGTTATACTTATTGTGACACATGTCAAACGCCGAGCACAACAAATGACGGGGATCTCTTCCAGAGAATGTCCGTCACATGGTCAGTTGAGATTCATGGTTAGCCGACAAGGAAGCTTTCTGATTTGTTTCTACGTCACCATCAATGAAGTGACAGCACACCCACCCACACAAACACACACAAACACACACACACACACACACACACACACACACACACACACAACCGCGGCACCACCCAAAGGACTCAGTGGAAGTCTTCTTCAAGGCTCAACAGTAAGTTATTATTTAAATTCAATCTCAGCGATGCAAACATCAGTTACGCGCAGTATTAGGTTTCTTCCATTAAGCTGTATTGAAAGATATAGGTTTTGTTCAACTCAAAAAGGGTTGTGTCGTCATAGACTGCTGATGTGGTTTCAATAAAGAGGGTTAAAAAAAAAAAAAAAAGTGACTCATACAGCTCCACCCACCAACAGGCTGTAGAGGAAGTGTTCAACGCAGTTCCCTTGATACTTTCTTGCCCTCGGACAGATAGACCTACATTCATGCTCTGTCTCACACACAAAGAGGATAATGAAGGTAAGGCTCTCTTGAAAACAATGAATTTAACTGTTGTGATTATTTCCTGTCATGTTAATGTCAGAAAGGAAGACTGCCTCTCATGCATTAATATAGTTTGCTCTTTGAAATCAGTATCGACACATTGACTGGAGCTTGTTTGTGGATGTGCGCCTGTTTGTTGTGTGTGTGTGTGTGTGTGTGTGTGTGTGTGCTTCTCGAAATCAAAGTCCTGTCAGGAAGAGCGTGCTTTTAAGCGCCTTTCTGTTGTTTCGTTGCTAGAACCATCATGCAGCAGCAGAAGTAGTGAACGCAGTGATTAAGTAAGTTTTAGCCACTTATAAACTAACACCTGCATGCATATCAGAAAATCTTTTTTTGGCCTCTTTTGGCGCATCTTAAAGTATGAATGGTATGCGCAAATATGTGTTCTTGAACTCAAATAACAAATGACAGATAGCCAGCTTTATGTGTGTTAGAATATCTGTGACTATAAAAACGAGGAGCCAAGAGTGTGTTAACTGTAAATCACTGCTACTTATGTTAATATGTGTGTTTGCTCATATTATGCATGGCTGGTTTAGTTGCACGATATTGTGAGCAAGTGATTAAAGTTGAGGATACTTTATTCCAAGAATGGCAACTGCTGATGAAACAGTTAGCTTATCCATTATTTATGGCACCTGATGCGACAGGCTTATTGTGTGTGGACTAAATGATTGAACATGAGAAAGGAAATAGGAAATCAGCCTGTGTTGAGTCTTTCTGGAGAGAAATAGTGGTCGGTGGAGCTTTGTATCCGCGGGGTCTCACTGCGCTCCTCCTCATGTGGGAGACAGGCGCTTGACGCGTGGGAACCATGGGAACAGCTGCTTATCATTGATATCTACTAGAGACTGTTATTGTTGATAGCGAGGCTTAGATAAATCATCGTAGTCATAACTTTAGCCTATCTTAAATTTTAAAAAAACTGATACCTGATACTACATGTCCCCAAGTGTAAAGTTCAAGTGTCTCACCCAGTGTGGTTGTCAGTGCCTTGTGGTAGATTAGAGACGAGCATAGCGCAAAAGTCTTTACAGTCATTTCTATCACACAGTTCACACATTAAAAAGACACTCTGAGATGAGTTTACTCGTGTGGTTAGGGAGCTCACACTGAATATGGGCTAAATGAAAAAGCAAGAAGCACACACAGTGACAGCCGAATGGCATCATGTGATTGTTTACTTGAAACAATACAGCAGGGCAGCATGTTTGGTCATGTGGGAATCCCCATATAAATAAATGAATTATTTTATGTAAAGGTACATCAACTGTGGTCTTTCTCCCAGATGTGCCTCTCACCCTCATACATTTATAGGTAGCTGGACCACAGTGTAGCCCCAAAAGTTGCCATAGAGTTGACTCAACACCTCTCTGGCACAGTCTCAACAAAGAAAATCAACATCAGCTCTTAGAAAGGTAGTTCTTAATGCAGAGCTATTGTATTAGATTGGATAATTACTACTTATTAAAGGTGCTGGTGTAACAAACTGAGGAATGAGGAAAAAACTAAACCTCAGACAGCCTTACAACATTACAGTCAATTAATAGTGTAGAAGACATAATGCCTGTGTTTTTTTTTTTATTATGGCCATATAATGAATCAATAATTCAACAGTTATTAATATCACTTTCATGATCCATCTGGTCTCACTTTTCCAGAAACTAAACACCTTGTGTACTGTTCAGTTACTTGTAGTCCTTGGGAATTTCCTCAGATGTGGTTTCTGTTGAGGACAGTCAATACTGCAGAATGACTCATGGCACATGGTGTAGGTGTTTCCCCTGCAAACGCTTTTTTATATTAAGGTTATTTTGTGTTGCACCACACTCAATCTATTAAATTCTGTGAATTGTTGTTTTAAGTGCACAGTTTCAGAACAAAGAACCTCTCAAAAGAGTGAAAGTAGCCTATATCATTTCTAGACTGTGTATGCACAGTGTGTACACAGTATGAGTAAAGTGAGAACAGGTGCTTCAGAAGACAAGAAGTGTGATACATTTTAATTGGCATACAGTTTTCACGGTCCCTTGCCTTTTATGGATTCAACAACTGAGATATTGTTTTCCACCTGGGAATTTCCTGAGACTCTAGTTCTGGCTGACTACTAACTTATACTTACTTAAGGACATACCAAAATAATCTGTGTTTTTCCTTTAGGGAAATTGAGTTTTTACACACCAATACACACAAATATGAACTAAATGAAACTATATAGTTGCGGATAACTTTCAGCATTTGGTTTCTATAATACCACAAAGAGAAAAAGGGAGGCACTGTCTGAAGTGTGATAGCAGATTCCCCCAGCAGGTACAGGAATACACCCTTCTGGACTTTGACAGTAACAGCCTTTCTCTTTGATACTTCTCAATGGGACTTTCCTGTAGCTTGGTGTCTGTCAAAAACACTTCTTTCAAATGGGTTCTTTGCTGACAGATCATGACAGAAATCATTTTCCTTCTCAACAGTGACTGGGAAAAGCCAGTAAGATATTTCAGATAAGACTGTTTATTGTTTTTGTATAGATTGAGAAAGTGTTTACTGTATCCTGTGGGGACAAAACCATTTTCAATAAATAAAAATTATTTTCAAGGGATGTCAATTTAAAAGTAAAAAAACGATTTATGAAAAATTAATCAGCCATCTGCTAATCTTGTGCAAATGAGTGCACTCAATTGTTGCATGAGTGTAATACTATTCCTGCCTGACTGTGCACTGATTTAATATTTCAAATGAAAAGATAATCTGTCCTAACACTAGTGTTTGTCTTTTCAACAGGCATCACTTTACAACCCACAGCATTTTGTGTAAGTACCCCTCCCATTTCATATTACATCATTATGAATCTAAAATGTCTTACAATTTATTTATTACATTTTATTATTATTATTTAATTACAATGTAATGACTCACAAACAATCTGAAAGTTGCCTTCACTTTTACCATCTACCACATTTACAGAATTAGAGACTGTCATCACCACTATTGGATTTGGGTGGGGTGCCTTTCCATAAAGCAGCCAGTGTTACTGTTCAGTCACTGATTACTGTCTGATCTCACCCTCTTCACTCACAAGTTGACCACAAATGGTTGGCAGGAAATACCTAAAAATACTGAGCTGAGAACTAAGAGGTTTCATCACTGCACAAATGACAATGACAAATTTAAGATTCCATATTGCTTAGTATATTGTGATTTAATCTTAACTCAATACAACTACTGAAGTAATCCAGTAAAGGCTCATCAACTGAACTGCTATAAATGTATAACAGCAACATGGACACAAATTGTCTAAAAGACCAACGATACTGAGAGCTTTTTTGTCCAAGTTAGATTTATTTAACCTACTGTGTGTAGGTGTTTGCGAAAGAGAGGGGGCATAGTTTAATTTCAGCTTTAGAAATAATGAGGGCAAGTACAGTCAAATTTGATCAGTCAATATGAACACATGTGCGGTTCCAGAGGCAGTGAACTGAATCACTCTCTATATTACAATATCTCCGGGCAGAGGGCCAGGGATATTTAGAAGTATTGGGCTTCATGCAAGAACATTTTCATATTCTTCTCTTAACTTTCTCCTACTTTTATTGTATGCTGTGCTACGTCAGATTCTAACTAACTTCAGATTTCGGTGTAAATCACCTGTGTAAAAATGATAAATGCCACCTGTGAGTCATGGAGCGTGCATTCATGAGAATTGAACATTTGCATAACTATGGCCCCAATCATATAAGGCTACACAGCCTGCCTCATGTGTGAGGAAGTTCTTGCATGAAAATTATTTGGAAGAGTAAAAAGAAGAACCTTATGAGTCTGGGGATTAGAGTCCTGCTCTCAGAGATCAACAGTCAGATAACAGTGTCAGCAGTGGAATTAAAGGACCTGGAATGGGAACAAAAAAATGAGTGCTGTCAAGGCCGTGTCATCTGAGGGTCGTACTGTTGTTGAAATCAAGAAGGAGTTGTTTGATATGAAAAGCAAGGCGATCAATAACTGCAACAATGGGGGTCAGGGGTAAGGCTTCATCACAGATATAGACGAGACGAAAGAATATGAGCCGTAGTATTTGATGTTGAATTGCCAGGCATTGCAACAGAGGACGTTCCCTTCGATAGCGACCTGCATACGCCTTAATTTGAAGAGAACCCAAACCCCCATTATTAGCCACTTAAATGAATGATGATATCGTTTGGCTATATTATACATTTAGAACTATATTATAATTCAAACTGTACAGTCAAACAGGATGATAATGATTTATTAGTATAATGTAATATAATATATAATAATAATGATAATTATGAAGTCTTATTTAAATAGGAAACTCAAAATTGCGTTACAGTAATGCAGTATACAGTCCTTCAGTGAAAAACGTGTGTTTGGATAAGAGCAGACTAATTGTATGTAAATTGTGAAAAAAGAGAAAAATTCAAAATAAGAGATAATTGGTGAGTTTTCCTCGTACAAGACATTTAAGATCCGTACAAGTGATTCTTGCATGAGGCCCATTGTTTGCGCTGTGAGGATGCAGTTTTTGTATGGCTATATGTTGCTGTAATGCCCCTGTAACAAATTTTTTTTCCCCCCCTTTCCTTCAGGTTTTCCCTCAGGAATTCCCTCCTCCTGGCCCTGGTGACAATAACATGGCACATTTCCGTCACAGGTGAGCAGTTCCATCTTATCAGTGCATCAACACAACACTTTCATCTTGGTTGGTGATATCACACCGGTATGCTTGGTTGCACATGAATAAAGCAACACCAAATGTATTATCATACAAACCAACAACGAAGCTCCAAATAAAGCAAATAACAACATATAATGTGAGAAGTTTGCTGGCAGAGATGAACACACAAAGAGTTATCGTTCAACTCAGCAGCTCTACAGAAGGTTTTAAAGTTCACCATCTTATGAAGTACGCTTACTTGCTTTCTTGCTGAGCGATAAATAAGAAGACTGATATTGCTCATTTGTCTGTACAATAAATCTAAAGCTACAGCCAGTAGCCGGGTTAACTTAGCTCAGCATAATGACTGCAAACCAGAGCTAGCTGTTTCCCCCTCTTTTGTGACTTTGTGCTAAGCTACCTGGCTGCTGGCTGTAGCCTTATAATTATGAGAGTGTTATCAAACTTCTCATCTAACTCCCGGCAGGAAAGCAAGTGAGTGTATTCTCGGACCTATTCTGTAACTATTCCTTTATGGCCCGTACATTTACTATCACATTAATCATGTTTCTGTTTTTCAGAAACAACTAGGCTACAAAAATGTAAGAAACTACAAGCTATCTGCCTAACCCCAAACCTCAGACAAATACATTCTGATTAACTGGTGAAAAAAGCTGAATATCTGGCAAACAAAAGACACAGATCTTTTTCTCAGAAGTTGGAGCACATTGACAAAACAGAGCTAAAGCACGAGGTGACCAAAAACAGCCAGACACAATGTGATAATGAAAAGTAATACTTTTGGTTTACTGTAACTTTCAATATTGTGACCTTTAGATCATGTAAAACATGAAAGGGACACTACTACTAATGTATTTTATACAAAAGAAAGGTCAATTGGGCTAAGAGGAACTGAGATTAGTCTACTACGTCATTAAGTGGAGCTCTCAAAATAAAAACCCCTTCACACCCACTCACAGCCTAAATTAAGAACTGCTTACTCAATGTATATTGCTCAAGTGTGTTAATGGTTTTACTAGCTGACAAGCAACATAAGAAATTAATTATAAATTGAGTCAATAGTACTGCAAACAACTTTGGTCCCCTTCTTAATTTTCCTTTTGTTTTACATATTATACTACTCAGTTCGTTAATATTTCAATCCATACTTAGGCAACTACACATTCATGGTGCAGTATATTTATATAATATACTGTACAAAAATGCTACCAACTCAAACATTCAGACTATTTTCAGAGCTGATATTCATTGTTGGAAACAGGCTTCCTATGAAACACAACTTTCTGCAATTAAAAATTATATATTTCTGATTTTAAATAGTCAGGGCTTGCTTTCATTTCTCCCTTAAGAAAATGTATGTTTCACAAAAGGTTTCCCAGCATGCTCTAACCCTTTACTCTTGCTTGCTTTTGTTTTCCAGAGTGTGTTGATCTACATCTCAGTGGGGAGGTTGGTGGAAATGTGACCATACGCTGCCCCTTTGACAAAGATAGGAAAATACTTTTTTTCTACTTCCAAAAGGGCGACGCGTTTGTGAATGGCTACTATGAAGACAGACATATGGACCACAAAAAAGTCCCGAAATGGAATAACACCAGATTTGATAGAGCCAATAATACTGTGTACATGTACAATTTGACTGTCGCACATAGTGGTGAATATCAGTGCCACATCAAGTACAGTGGAGGCGATTTGAAGGGAAAAAAAATACAACTCACTGTCACAGGTATGTGTGTGTTCAGTTTAACATTTAAAAATGTATTTGATTGTTTAAGTTTTAGGTTGATAGGAGGTCCATTCTTTAACACTTTACAACACTATGATGGAATAATACTGTATATACAGGCACTTCTCTAGCTCCTCTAACATTGTAGGTGACAAATAGTTGTTTCCACTTGAACGTAGCAGTACCAGTGATATTGATTAGATTGATCAATAGTTTTTGAAGATGATGATCTTTTTTTTGTTCCTCTGGAAGACCTTGAAGAACTTGAAATAAAAAGTTAAAAGTATGTCATCAAAAAACATCCTTGTGGGTTTCCGCTGCTCAAATAGCTGCACGATGACTCCATGATGTATAATGCTGACATGTTTTTAACGACTGGCATGACATAGGACAAAGTCGGACTTTAACACAAATGTATGAGGATGAGCTTTTGCCAGCTGAGTCAACAGTAAATCCTTTGCCAGGCAGGTTATAAACCCTGATTTTAGCAGTAATTCTTCTGATCTTTTACTGTCAATTATAACTGGTAAAGCGAAGATTAGCTGTTTATATTTTCGAAAATACAAAGTCTGGGAAACTTTCTTGACAGGTTAACTTTTAGACAGAAAAACACACTTTTAATGGGCAACCAACCCAGCTCCTCGTCTTAGAAAAGAAAAGTTTCTATGAGAACCATGGTGACCATTAGACTTAAAATTCCTTCAGTATAATTCTCAAAAAACACTCTCTCAGCTTTGTGAAAATCCTTTTACATTATAAAAAGGTGCATGGTGCCGAAACTAATCATTTTCAGAAAACTTGACATGCTACAGATAAAACCTACATTCTGACAGAGGTCTTTTTCTCTCTTTCCTAGCAAACTACAGTAAACCTGAAGTCAAACAGTACTGTAGTAATGAAAACCAGATATTTGGTTGCCGGGTGATGTGTGCTTCACATGCTGGCTACCCTGACAAGGACATTGTTTGGAACGTACACGGGGCTCAGATTTGGAATGTTGTGAACACCAGTAAAACGACAGATCCCCACACCATGATGTTCAGCGTCTACAGCTTGGCATACTACAACTGCTCCAATGGACCGCTGGAGGCCCTCAGCTGCTCCGTTGGTGCCGTAACCTCAGAGATGTTCTCATTATGTGAGTACTAAACTCTAAAAAGACCAGTCCTAATGGTTTCTGTACCAAAATCTGTTTTATGCTGGGAAAGTTTTGGGAAGTGTGAAAGGCAATGGAAAAGCCCTTGATGGCTCCTTTTTCAGGAATGTGCGAGGGAATTTTTTTTATAACCTCCTATCAATGGTGGACTTTTACATCAGAGTTTAGAGTTTGTGTATCTGTGAAGACTTTAAAGCTTAATCTGCTCTGTGAAGATGAAATTAAGCACAGCTGGGCTGTGAGATTTAAAGCTAACACTAACATTGACAACATGAAAATGAAAATGCTACCGAGCTGATATATAGCATTAAATACAAAGGAAAGCAGAGGCTGATGGGAATGCCATTAGTTTTGTAGGTATACTGGGTCATAAACCAAGGTATTGGACACAGTCAAGTTTTTACATGATGAAGGCGCTATAGGAAAAAATCACCAAAGTTATTAAACTTTCATCCCCAGAGTCATGTCATGGCTAAAAACGCTACAGCGGATTGGCTTGTTCTCCCCAAAATAATGTTAGATCTGTATTGTGTATTTGGCTGATGAGATTCACGCCTCCCTGAGTAAGATTGCTCGTCATCCATTTTTGGTATAGGCTACTGTGCTTCGGACTGATCAAATATAAACATATTCTGTATTTATTTCTGTGTGATAATTAAATATAAACATTATTTAAATGGTTGGTTTAGGGCAGATGATTTTGATCTGGTCCAGGTTTTGAGATATCAGTTTTAATTGCATCCTGTATCCAGAGCAATGGGTACACTGATTCTGACAAGGATAAAATAATGTTGCTGTTGATTTTTATTTTTAATTGTATTTCTATTGGAACTATTGAATTTTGTAAATAAATTCTGTAAAACTCAGCATCACAAAGAAAGGTAAAGCCAACACAATCTGCATGGCCATACCATTTTTTTAAATCAACGAATCCAATGAAAAGAATAAAACCCAACAATGGTCTGATCTAACTAAGTATTTTCTTTGTAGCCAATATAATGTAGATATATTTATCTTTGTTATAGAGCTCCACTATTGTCCAAAATCTATTCAGTGAGTCAGACTGTTGGTACTAGACATAGGCACTATAGTGTATATTGAATCAATCCCACATACTCCTTCCTGCTGCAGTAATTGCTCACAACTGTGGCCAGCTGTTTTAGGAAATTATTCAGCTTTTTAAAATATGACATTATATAACTGTGATGTGTTGATTTACATCTTTAGTAGTAGTGAAAATATGGGATTTGTTAAGAGTAAGAATAATATAAAATATTGCCAGCCGTATAACTCTGTAAAACATTTGTTCTCATCTGAAGGTACTCAACTCAAGGATCCATCTGAAGGTGGCTGGCCCTATATGAAAGAAGTAGCAGCCATCTTGGCAGTGGCGTTCTTAATGGTGACGTTGCTGGTGTGGTGGAAATGCAGGAAAAGACAGAGAGGTAAGGGCAGAGATTAGGTGTGTCACAATAAAGCTGTTCACACATTTGCATATCTGTTTGTAAGAATACAAAGTTGCCAGTATGAATGAATATACAGTAACGACAAAAACAACTTACAGCAGTTTCTATGTTGGTTTCCAGGAGCAGCAGCAGCAGCAGCAGCAGCAGCACCAGGAGATGTGAGGTAAGAGTGAGTAGTAACCAAAATACTTTGATTTCATTCATAAGTAATGTAAAATGTAAGCTGATAAGGAGTTCCAAGAGGCACAACTGTAATGACAAAATGCTACTATTCGTGATTGTATGTGCAGTCCTAGTTGCTTCAAAATGTTGTTTGTAACTTTTAATGTACATTATATTTTTTATTCCTTGTAACTACTGACATTATCTCTCCATTTCCTGTTCCTTCCTGTCTTTATTTTTCTCCAGGGAGAGAGTAGCCTTAAATGCAACACAAGGAGAGGACGGAGCTTCTTGTTGAAGAGGATTATTCAAGTTGTATTTGGATAATCTACTCCCATGGTTGTTCTATAAAAATAGAACTAATACTGTATGTCCCTCAAGTGTATAATACATTTGTGACTGACTGACTTCATACATATCAGAAATGGCCATGGCCAGATGGAGTCAGTGACTGACTTGGGACCGGAAACTGTCAACATTTCTCTGACACTTGTGACTTGTTTGAGGAAGTATTCTACATTAGTATCATGTTACTGGTGAAGTACAGCGTGTCGATCTACTGAGAATTGCCTACTTCTTTAAAAAAAAATTACTTTTCCAGCGGTCCAATGGTTAGTGGGGACATTGTTATTGCCTATACTGGAAAACAGTCTCAATGGAAAACAATTTCCTGCGAGCAGTGAAGTCAAAGTCTGATGAAATATATGTTTTTGTTTTGTTTTATTGTTGACACTGACCTTTGTGGGGAGAACTGGGATCTGTTACACTTGCTACAAGTTTCAGTTTTGGAGTTTTGTCATTTTAAAATACAGTTTACTGTTGTTATTGCACTTTAGAATTCCCCTTAAATAGGCATATTGCCCCATCTACAACATCCTGTTTTCTTTAGTGTTTGGCTTTGTAATATATTTTATTTAATACACATAATAGAACAGTCAGTGATAGTTTGAAAGTGATCAAAAGTCACTTTAGTTGCCTCATTGGTTCCCAGGGTTTTACTCTTTAATTAGTTTTGTCTATCAGAAATTATCTGTAGCAGAAGCTGTGAAAAATATTGAATCCTATTTGCACATAAATTGGTTCACTGAAGTCTTCCACAATAGGTGCCAGTATTCCAAGATTCCCCTGTAAGGTGCAATATTGAATACAAGGGGAAAGGGGGGTTTCTTTTTTGGTTGAATCGCCGTTACCCCCTTGATTCAAATTTTAGTCTTTAGTCTTCACAACTCCATTTTTTACTCAGGTGACTGTTCTCATGTGAAATATCCATGTTGTGTGTTTTGCAAATATTATTTTGTTACATATTTATTTCATATTATTTTATGTTTTTCTTACTCAATATGAAACTGTAAACCGTTCAACCCGTTTACAATATTTTCTGGATAACAAACCTTCATTATTCCTCATTCTTTAGAATTAACAATCTCAAAGGGCTGCTTTCATTTCCTAAATTTGTACAAAACACTCTCATATGACTTCGTCTTGTTTGTTTGTCATTTCACATAACCCTGTATGTCTAATTTTTCTTTGGGACCAAACTATGTTATCACTTAAATTTATATTGTGTCGTGGGACTTTTCACTCACTTCACTATATGTCAGAATATGCTATTTGAACGGCTGTAAGAGATTGTATTTAAGAGGCCTGACTGAATTTTTTGTTGCAATGCAGTTTTATTGCCACTAGATGTCGTACTAGCACCACAGAGTCAAGACAAACCTGCTGTCATGGCTGATTGTTGGTGTTGTGTATACTATAACATTAGTGCAACATCCATGAGCCTGATCACATTTGTCAGCTGGCCTGCAAAAGGCCAAAAACGTAATTTCCGCTTGCCAGACAAATGAAACAGTGTTTATGCATTCAGCACTTGATGTATGATCAGAGCGATGTGAACACTTTTAAACAGGGATACATGATGCGTCTCTGGCCTCAGTATATGCTCACCACATGGCAGGAGAAGGATGGCTAGCCCTGGTATATTGAAGGAAAAGAAAGGGGTAAAAAGAGCAAGGAAGAGAAAAGGATTGTAGACTAGATGTGAGATGACATCGAAAGACGGCCAAAACAAGATGCAAGGCCATTTGTTCACAGGAACCTACTGAATCTGTGAGAGAGGAGACAACAGGATGTCCTGTCTAGGATACTGTTAACATTATAGATGTACACATCACGGCTAACTGTCTGTCTGTATATGTATCTCTGTCTTAAACTATTTCCACCACTTTTTTATATCCCTCTTGCTCCCCATTTTCTATTTCCTTCTTCACATATTTTATTCTTTCAAATCCCACCTCCACGTCTATTCCTCACTTGCTTTCTCTCTGCCTCATGAGTCACTGTGACAGGCTGTCAGTCCACCTCTCGGCCCTGTGTTTACATTGGGCAGCAGAGCAGCACCAGGCTGGTTGCACTTGAGGAATGTAACCCCCAAGGTCCTTGCTCTCCTCCTCCTCCTCCTCCTCATTTCCCTTCTCCTCACCTCTTTTTCTTTCCTTCCTTCATTCTTTTATTCCCTCGTCGCACAGATTCACTGTTTCCCCTTCTCCTCACTTTCCTTCTGTTCCTTCTTCTGTCATCTCTCTTCTGCTCCTCTCCTCCCTCTAATTATCCTCCCCTCGGCCCCATCAAACCCACCCACACCACAAACTCCCCTTCTCTCCTTCTGCCACCTTTCTCTCCTCTTTTCTTACCCACCCTTACTCCTCTCTCTCCATTCCCCTTCTCCGCTTCCCTTTTTCTATCCCCTCTTTAAAATTCAGAAAGCATTGTCCAGACTCACTCACACCCCGCCACCCCATTCTCCTGTCATCATCCCCTCACCTCCCACTTCTCCCCATCTTTCTGTCCTCCCTCCCTCATTCCTCTGCTGTCTAACCCAAACAAACCAGGGAGGACTTTCCTCTGTGGTGGCTGTAGAAGAAACACACCACATGTCAGACTTGGTTTAAACATAAACATTAGTCAATTTGAGGTACTGGAAAAGGATATGAGGCGCTTAAGTTCAACATGAGATAGAGCTTCTATTATGAAATCCTAATGCTAAAACTCACCACAGGGTTTAAAATCAGAGCAGAGAACAGTATATTTTGGTGTATATTGGCAAAAGTATTTTCTTTGGAATTGGCAACTGTACATAAGAAATACTAAAACCAATATTTTTTTTTCTGATGGTTTATTAGTAACCTTTTACAATGAGGAGCACCTTGGATTTCATTTCTTTTATTTGTATTCATCATTTGTATTATGTCATTACAGTAATATCATTGATAATGTATAATGACTTTATATATGAATAAAATTCATTGTGAGATTGAAAATAAACCTTTAAAAGGACAGAAACACTTGTATTTGAGATACTGAATTCTAAAAATGAACATCTATAGACACAAGAAAGTGGATCTAATAATTATGAGCAATCTTAGCAGACTGTTCTGTTTTGTTTTGCAGTGACACAGCAGAATGTGTGATCTCCTGCTTAATGGAGAACTTTTTCAGTCAGGACATAGTCCTGTGGCATTTCTCAGCGAGAGGCGTGTGACCTCTGCCACACTGTTCTGTGTGGAGTCCATACCAGAGGATTTATAATCAGATTATAGTAGTTATGAAAGTGAACTAGATTAGTTTTAGTGCGGGGAGCCAGAGCACAAGGCATCGATTCACAGCGGGAGAGGGGAGCTGATCAGCATGAGGGAGATTGGGTTGTTAGTGTTCTCAGAATAACACCAGGCATTTCACTGTCTCTGAATCCGATCAATATGTGTGTGTGTGTGTGTGTGTGTGTGTGTGGGTGTGTGTGTGTGTGTGTGTGTGTGTGTGTGTGTGTGTGTGTGCTATAATAATAATAATAAAGAATAAGAGAATAAAGTAAACCCTCAACATGATTAAAAATGTAAAATTACATTTTATCCTCAAATTTACATTTCACTGAGCTATTAAGTATTTTGCTTGGAACACTGGGTTGAAGACAATGTATATACACAATTAGTCTGAATGATGACAGAAAACTATGCATTTTGAGTGTTTGTTAACTGATAATTATTATAAATATAATTTTCATGTTTTTCCTACTGTGTTTTCAAAGTTACTGATGTTAAAGAACATCAACAGCAACATAAAAAACACTTAGATGTAATTGTTGCCTCAAGTGGCCCTTTTGTGTAACTTCTAGGAAATACTTTCTGTAGATGGGGTAGTTGGAAGTAACAGAATGAGGCTGACAGTGAGAGACTGAGCAGGTCAGGGGGTTCAGCCCTGGTGCTTCAGCTGAGTGATCATGGTGTTGCTGTCACTGCAGAAACCCTCTCCCTGACCCCCAGAGACAGGAGAGGTGACCTGGAAGCATTTATCACCTCGGTGCTTTCTGACCCATGACCTGAGGCCTAACATAGGGAGAAGACACACCAGAGAAAAGAAGAAGACACAGGGAAGGAGTGACCAATGCAACAATAGTCATTTGTTGTACCAAATGTGTAAAATAGTATAATAAAATAGTTTGTTACAGCACTAATGAGGAGGAATTTATGTATTTCTGGAGGAACAAACGCTTTCTTTCCTTATTATAGAGTTATAGTGGCGGGTTTATGAAACTGCTGGAAACGAATGTAGACTATGTGAGTTTGCATCAATAGCAATATTTCTCTTGGTCAGAGGATGAAAACACTGCCGGTGGTCCCGGTTTGGTTGAGCCAAAAACCATCAGCAGAGACTTGAAAGAGCTTGAAACAAGTTGGGAGAGAGAGATGTTTGCTGGCTTGCAGCCCAATAGAACTATTAACACCTCTCTGTAATGGTGATACACCAAAGGAGTTCTTGGCCAAGGCCTTTTCAATGAGGCTATGACCTGATATCTAAAGTCGTGTGTGTACGTGTGTGTGTGCGTGTAGAGGAGCGAAATCTGAGCAGACACTGAGTACAGTAACATCTCCTTTGAATATTTATAGAACTGCTTAAGATGTGACCTTTAGTTTTGCACAAACGCGCGCACACACACACACACACACACACACACACACACACACACACACACACACACACACACACACACGGAGTATACATTATATCTATCTATCCATCTATCAAACTGTACAGTAGACATTGTTCTGCTGCCTGAAACATTCACACAGGTGATCATACTGAAGCCGTCCCCTGAGAGGATCGTATGAGGGGAGCCAAAGAGAAGAACAGAGGCCGGTATGAGGGACTGGTGAGTAAGATGCCCAGTTGGCTGCAGATGGTTGGCAGCCTCATGTTTCTGCAGAGGCTCAACATCAAAGCCCATCAAAAGTATTTGTAATGTGTGTTGTGAAAGACTGTTAAGTGACATCATAATATACATACATGATGTTTGTTACTTGCTACAAAATTTACTTGCTGTCCCACAGTATTCTTCCACTGTAGGATAGCTAAGGAAGGTTGTTTACATATTACAGCCTACTACTGTGAAAATTCCACTGTGACCTTATTTGGTTACTGTGACATTTTCTGTTGCACTCCAGACAACTGCGGAGCCATAAATTTCAGCCTTGTTTGCCTTTCTCTTCATGCACGTGAGTAAGGAAGCTGGTGTAGATTACAGAGACAGTATGGTTTATTATTAGAGAACAGACAGTGGAAATGGAAGAGATTAATTACTCTAATGTACAATAATGGGCCATAACTAAAACCTGGCCATTTGTGGTCTGTTTTTGTACCTCCAGTATATTAGAGTCAAGACATTACCTATATTGTGTAAATTATTAATGATCAAATGTGTAATTAAATCTGATATTAAATAAATAAATCTTTTCCACTGAAATATCTACCTCCTCAATTAATGAGGAGCCCAGCGTGTAGCTGCTGTTAGTCCATAAATTTAATTTAACCAGCAGAGTATCTAAGTTATGGCACTGAAAGATGATCAAGCTGTTTTTTTTTTTTTTTTGGGGGGGGGGGGGGGGGGGGGGGGGGGGGGGGGGGGGGGGGGGGGGGGGTGTGTGTGTGTGTGTGTGTGTGTGTGTGTCTCAATGGCAATTTAAACCGCTGTGTGGCAAATATTCAATTATATTTTGCATACAGCAGAATATCTTTTGCATAGCTAAGGCTGCAAGAAGGAGGTGTAGATAAAAAAATGTTTCAGTATGTTCAGTATGCGTGTGCTTTGATTGAAGAGCTGTAGATGAAGAGGGACTTAACTGAAACTTAGAAAAGATGTGAAGAAAAATGGCTGACATGGTGTGCAAGCTTTGGATACTTGACACCAACAGGTCCCTACAGCAACCTCCGCTTAAATCTCCACACCCCAGACGTGGTGAGGGATTTGAGGAGGGACAGGGTGTACAGACACTAATGTGGCTGACATACAAGGCAATTCATGTACAGACATTTTTTGGGTATGTATTCCTCCCTTATTTATCAGAGCAATGACCTGTGTACGGGCTTGCATGTGTAAGAGAGACTACGCAAATGAAGGTGTGTATATATATATGTGTGTGTGTGTGTGTGTGTGTGTGTGTGTGTGTGTGTGTGTGTGTGTGTGTATTTGCGGGTGTGTAATAAGAGACACCTGAGACAGTTAGAAGGTCATTCCTGGAGTCTGGTCACATAGCTTTGATCATTTTCTCGTCGCCTCAGAAATAGACCAGGGAGGACCGGACGGGCACAAACTCTCCCTCTTTGTGTGCATGTATGTGTGTGTTCGAGGGAGAGTGCAAGCCCAACAGACTGACAAGGAATCCACACTTGTTGGTAGTGCACAAGCCCGTGTGTGCATGACTGCACTAATACATTAGCACCCGTACCTTTGTTCGACACTGCTTGCATTTGCTCTGCTTGCAGTGAATGTGTTCATGCACATGTATGCAAATGCGTGTAGGGACAGTGTGTGTGAGCACTCATGCAAGTGTTAAGAGGTGTAATTGTGATTTAAATTCTTAGGTTGTCGAAACAATAAACTCTAACTAGAGTCTCAGATCAGTTTCTGAGACTCTGCAGGCAACAATTTTGCAGTGTTTAGTTGCAAATTTGCAAACACACACACACACACACACACACACACACACACACACACACACACACACACACACACACACACACACACACACACACACACACACACACACACACACACACACACACACACACACACACACACACACAGAAGCAACAAAACACAGGGAGATCAATGTTTGTGTGTTTTTATGATTAACCTTCATGCAAGCCCAAGATGCAAACTGAGTTCAGAATGATCGGAATGATACCCATAATTCTTCATTTGTTCCCATTTTGCAAACATCACCATTATCTTAAGAATGTACGGCATGGCATTTATGAGCCATGGCATGCAACATCCGCAGCATGACTTCATTAGATTTAGAGTAACAAGTACTGTTGAAGAGCACAGTTACATACATAACATAAATCTGTTGATCAGTTTCTCTTTCACTGCCGGTGGCTTTTTAACAAGGTGTGGTAAGTTTGCAAAGAGAATAGGTTTACAAGGAGTATGAGTAGATGTTTGTGTTTGGTTTATTGAATTATGACTTCAGCAAACATTGTGAGGCAAGGATTCATTCAGTACAGAGTTTGAAGAAGACCTGAAAGTATTTAATTTGCCTATAAAGCAGCACACATGGAGAAGGGAAATTACTCACCATGAAGGGCGCCAATCATATTGAAAGAAACCCCTGCAGGCAAAGCTTCTTGTTACAAAATTGATTTGTCTATTCCCTCAGAACAAGGTCCTATTTTGTGACCAGTTTTCTGTCAACATGCCTATCCTCTTAAGCAGCCGCCATTGCTGTATTTGAGCAGACAGTCAATTCTCACACACGTAGTCACACACAGCTAGCGTTAAACCATGCCTGTAGCTCATACCATAGCTGTGAGTAGTTCCTCAAAGGATGCTGATTCACCTAAACTACTGTGTTTTGGACACAAGCACATTGCTTGAAGCTATGAGTCTAAAATGTCCTAAAATGGCCACTGTACAGAGGATAAATGCCTTTAATTTAGTGAACAACACTATGTTTCCTGTAGCACGACCCTCATGCCACAGTTTACCACTTTTGTGTCTCATTGTGGGTCTAAGTGCTGCAAAGTTGTCTCTACATTTTTCATCCCTGCAACAACTTCTGGTTTATTATAAGCATTACAGTCTCACTAGCTGCTAGCACGGCTATAGCTGTTTAGTTTTGTTGATATGTGATAGAGAAAGGTAAGAAGGGAAATGGTGGGCTGACAATGCATGCAAGGATGAGGGCAGCTTCTTTACTGCACCCATCCTGTTATCATATTCAGAGCCTTTAAAGAACCACCTAATCCCCTTGTAGCTCCTTCATGTTGGACTTTTATCCACTTGCTGA